CCCGCCCCATCCCGGCCATCCCCATCGCCCTGCACCGCTTCCGCCTGCCCCGGGCACGGCACCAGCCGCAGGTACGGTGATCCCATCCCTTCCCTTCCCTTCCCGGTTCATCCCGTCCTTTCCCGGTTCATCCCTTCCCTTCCCCGTTGATCCCGTCCCTTCCCCGCCGATCCCGTCCTTTCCCCGGTACCGGGGCCCCGAGCGCTGCCCCCACCCCGCTCCCGGTTCAACTTCCTCGGGCTCGGCCGTGTCAGCGCCGTTCCCTTTGGGGGACAGAGGGCAGGGAGGCCAGTTGGGCAATTGGAGGATTTTCATGAGACAGGAAAACAGAAAGCTGAAATTAGAAATTTCCCCCAGATGGGAGTTACTTCGGCGCCTTCGCCTTTAAATAGGGAAAGTTCCTGCGGCAGGCTCAGGCAGCGCTGGAGCAGTGTCCCCTCCAGACATCTCTGCTGTTTGTTTAAAATCCCATCCGAGGCCTTGGGTGAGTGCAGAGCTCAGGGATCAGCTGTGGATGGGGATATAAAGTCTCYCAACYRMCGGAGTGAGTCCRGAGGAGGCCCCGGAGCTGCTCCAAGTGCCAGAGCCCCAGGCTGGGAGAGCTGGGGGTGMTCMCCTGGAGAAGGCTCCAGGGAGAGCTCAGAGYCCCTTCCAGAGCCTGAAGGGGCTCCAGGAGAGGGACTGGGGACAAAGGATGGAGGGRCAGGACACAGGGAATGGCCAGAGCGCAGGGTTGGATGGGATATTGGTGATACAGGCCTCCCTTTGAACCTTCCCTGATAACACAGGTTTTCAGCTGGAAAGGCTTTGCTCCAAGCCTGGTTTTATTCCTCGATTGCCATTGCAAGGAGCCTGCTGGAAACAGCTGCCTGGATGAGACACTTGGATTTACCTAAATRCATCATTATTTCCTCAATTATTTTAAACCAGTTGTAATTAATGCKAAATGAATGCAAAGAATGTGCTCTTTGCTTAATCACCGAGTCGGAATAACGCACRGAGAGCGCTGGCACAGCTGCAGGCATGGAACAGATGCAAAAACTGGGAGGGGTGAGGGAGATCCTGGGAGCTCCAGGAGCATCCCCCAGCTCCCACATCACCCCTTTGAACGCTGTCCTTTTCTCCTCACAGATTCACAGCACAGAGAGATCCCGGTTCCATGAAGAGCCCCTGAGCACCAAAGGGTTTGTGCGGCACGAGGAGCGTGGCTGGGGCACCCCAGAGCCCCACAAGGAAACGAACCTTTACCAAAAGATGCTTTTCCCATCCCTATTTCAGTCCACAGCCCGGGCCAGCAGCTGCTGAGATGGCACAGAGCTCTGAGCTCCAGCCYAGCTTTGAGGACGTGTTCAACCTTCTGTCCCAAACCCCGACAGAGAAACTGCTGAGCCTCAAACTCAAACTGAAGCATTTGATACCCGGRCCCTGCAGCAAATTACTGCAAGCCATGGTCCTGCTCACTCTGGGGCAAGAGACGGACGCAAGGATTTGTTTGGATGCTTTGAGGGATAACCAGGCAGCCCAGTATGTCCAGCAGATCAAACTGGGCACTGCAGGAGTGCGGGGAGATGGGGAGGGTTTGCAGCCTCCCCAGTTGGATGCGGGTGCCATGGCACTGCTGGCTCAGGTGTACGGAGTGTTGGCACAGGAAAAGCTGTGCAGTGCTGAGGCCAGGGACAGAGCCTGCCARGCTGCCAGCAAAGCGTGCCACACCAGCAAGGACATTCAGCAGGGGACACTCAACAACATCCCAGCTGAGGAGCAGGGCAAGCAGGGCTCTGCTGCCAGCGTGGGATCAGGGGATGGGTTTGGGATGATGCTGAGATCCAACGAGGATGCAGGATTTCCCTGCCCAGCAGGCTCCAACTGCGTGGTGAGGAGTTCTCCCGTGCAGATTGGAGGCAGCTCAGAATTTTCATGCCCACGGACCTTGCGCTCTGTGGGGAATTCCTCCCTGTCCAGCTGTTTGGAGATTAGTGCATCACCAACACTTGCTTTTCACACTCAGCCTTCTGTCCCCAAATGTGTCCCCCACCCCGATGGGGACAGAGAGAGCCAAGACCCGCAGGAATCCAGCTGGGTCAGCACACCCAGCTCTGCCCTGGGGCAGGACACAGCCAGCCAGGTGCCCCAGCCACAGGAAGCTCTGCAGGTCAGTCCCTGTCACCCCAGAGTCCCCATTCCTGAGAAGGACCTGCAGGTCAGTCCCTGTCACCCCAGAGTCCCCATTCCWGAGATGCCRCTGCCCTCGGAGCATGGCCAAAGCAGTGACATGTCCAGCACAGTGACAGAGCCTCCTGCACCAAGAGAAAACACAGGAAAAAAGCAGGATGAAAAGCAAAATGAACAGCAATTCTCAGCTGGTGTCCCTGACCAAAGCGCTGTGGTGGACACTGCTCCTGCCCACGTGTCCATAGAGGATTCCTACAATCCAGCAGGCATTCCTTGTAACTCTGCACCTGCTTCTGTTTCRACCTGTTCTCTTCCTCCTCCCAGCTATTCCTTCTCCTCAACTCTTCCTCCTCTTCAGGAATCTCATTCCAACCTATTGTATCCCCCTCCCCTGCATTCATCCCCCTCTCCAGCCTGGCCTCCTCCTYCTCTCCCACCCATGGATCCTTCAGAGCCAGATGGTGCCAAGTTCTTCACGTTTGTTGTCCTGCAYGCCACTGAAGATGAGATGGTGGCCCACGAGGTCAGGAACCTCCTGGAGAACATGGGRGTGTCCAACGGTGCCACACTCAGCGAGGATTTCTTCATCGCCGGCCGCAGCCACATGTTTTGCTTCCAGGAAGCCATGGAAAACTCTGCCTTCATGATCCTCCTGCTGACCAAGAACTTCCCGTGCAACCTGTGTTTGTTCCAGACAGACACTGCCCTGATGCAGTCCATCCTGGACCCCTCCAAGCAGCACTCAGTCATCCCRTTTTTACCCAAGGCCAACGCCCTGGAGCGCAGCCGGATCCCCACCATGCTCAGCGGGCTGGTGATCCTGAACGAGAGCTCTCCTCTCTTCTCCAGGATGGTGCACAAGACTTTTAACCCCAAGAGAATCGAGGAGAAGAAAGCTTTGTGGGACCAGATGCAGAGGAGGAAGCTCCAGAGTTGGGAACGGTACCGAGCCCAGCAGGATTTGGCTGCCCTGAGCCTGGGCTGCCCTCCTCAGATGCCTCCACCGTGGCCACCACAGCCACCACCCCAACACTGGTGTCCCCCTGCCCCAAAAGACCCTGCTCAGAGGAATCCCCCTCCTTCCCAAGCTCAGCTCCCACCAGGACATTACAACATCGTGCCAGGCTCGGGAGGGATCCCACCCCTCATCATCCAACACGCCCGCATGGTTCAGATTGGGAACCACAACACCATGAGGGTGGAAACTGCCCCAGCTGGGYCACGGGACAGCGAGGAGCAAACCAGGCACAATGCCTGACCTTGGGGCAGCCAAGGGCAGAGAGAAAATTAATTTCAAATCCTGGAGTAGAGTGATTTTACTGGGACTGGGACTATTATTTCTCTATGCATCAAGAGTGCCATTTCCTTGGCAAAGAAAGGAAGAAAATTCTTCATTTTTTGCTGGACAAAAGACACTGTGATCTCCTGGAACTGGTTTTTCCTTGTGCTTATTTTCAAGTAACTGAGACAATTATTTTCCCGATTGTCAGGGACTACTTGAAGATTTTATAAATAAATTTTAATTCGTTTATTTGTGYTCCCCATGTTCTTTCCTGCAGAATTAGAAAAGGGGCAGTCAAGGATATATTGAAAACTGTTGAGTGGAGGGGGKTGGCAGATGGCACTGACCAAATGATTTGCGAGACAATCTGCAGGGGATGCTTTGGGAAGCTGCCTTTGAGGAAAAAGTAGGATCAAAACCCAAAAGCATTGAGTAGAGTAGTGCAGAAGGGTGGAGAAAGCCAGGAATGGGGAGTGGGARGGAAAATTCTGCAGGAGCTGCATGAGGGAGGACCAGGCTGAGCTTTAACACCAGGAGGGCACCTGGAGCAAAGCCCCTGAGCCCTCGCTCCTCCTGCCATCCTCCAGGCACAGCCATTTTCCTGATCGTCAGCAGAGGTCACCCCAAAGCCACCCAGAAGCTGCAAATGGGGCCGTTCCCTCCCTGAGCAGAGCCCAGAGCCGGCCAAAAGCAAAATGGAGTGATCAGTACAGGGCAGGGACCCCACTCCGGGTATTTCTGTAGGATTGGGTGTGCTGGCGTCACTTCAGGGATTCCCAGCAGGTTCCCAGTGTCTGTCCCAGGAGGATCCAGGGGGATGTGAGCCCAGGCTCTCTCAGGGCCTGATTCCAGATTGTAGTGTTTGTCCAGGAGCCATCCCAGCCCCACAACCACCCCTATATGAGACAGACATGAATAAATCCTTGGAGGAGATTCGGAGCTGCCCCCAACTCTTGGCTTCCAGCTCTCCAAGAGTTTGGATTTCAACTCTGCAGGACCCAGTGATAATAACTTAGCTCATCCACTCTTTCCAGAGCCTGCTGGAATCCTCCAAGTGCTCAAATTCCTTTGATTTTCCTGGTTTATCTCCTCCACAGCACCATTGATGAAGAGGTGTTGTGTTACTGCAATTCCTGTCCCCTGCAGCTGGTGCAGGGAGGGGACAGGACACACATCCCTCTTTTCCCAGCTCCTCTCCTGCTATAAATAAACATCCTGCAATATTAGTCAACTGGAAGCTGCTCCAGCTTGTAAACAACCTCAGCACAGCCACATCGAGCGTGTTTGGATCCCACAAAGGGGAGGGAAAGCTGTGGCTGGGGAACAGGAGGCTCTGCAGCCACCCCAGTGGAGAAAAAAAACTCCTCTCTGTCCAAGATAATTAACAAAATAATCACTGAGATATTGCCCTGCTTCCCACAACTCCATGTTTTCCCCACATGGAGCTGGCCCAGACCTACAGTAAATCACGCCTGTTCAATGTAATTACCCCTAAATCATGCAGTGATTTCTCCCACYCTGTAATTACTATCAACATTTAATTGCTAGGCCCTCTATGTAATTACAGATTATTTATGTGTTAAAAAGAATTAAAAACTGAAGCCTTTTCCATCACATAGAATATCCTATATCCCCCTCCTTGGGGCTGCTGGACCTGACAGGATCCCCCAGCTCCCTGACCACAGGATCCCAGCTCCAGAGTTGATTTTGCATGGAGTAACTCCATTCCCACCTCTCTCCACAGGACAAATATTCAAATATTTTCCCCATTCACTCTCCCTGGAAAAGACTAAGCATTTTTGGGAGCCCAGATCCCTGTGTGGAAATAACTCCAGTACCATTAATTCCTCTTTTTGTASCCTCCCTGATGGATTTGGGGTCAGCAAATACCGTGCCCCTCTTTGTGCTTGCTGTGCCCACTGTCTCAGGTGTGTAAGGCAGGTAAAACCCAACTCAACCCAGATCCTTTCAGAGTTTTCATACAAACACCTCGTAGTTCCATACCCACAGTATTTCATCCCTGAAAACAGAATCTTATCAGGAAGAAGTCCAAGGCACTTGCATTCTAGCAGCCATTTTTTGTTTTATTATTTAAAGTTAAGAGCGCTCATCAGCTCACAAAGGAACAAATCCCATTCCTGCAGTTTAGTTCAGGTTTCAGCCAAAAGGAAAAAAAAAAAAAAATAAAAATAGAAGGCAGCTAAACTAACTCTGCACTTTACAGCTCAATTCAAGTTAAACCTCCTCGCTTTATAAATAAATGTTATAGTTAACACTGCAAAATGTACTGGCAGATCTACAATACCTTGAAGGGGCAGAGAGCGTTGGTTATTGAGGCTGATAAATACAAGAAGAGAAGCTTCAGTAGCACAGAGAGMGAGGGTGGGGCCAGGGGTTTGCTCTCCCAGGTGGGACCTTTCCCAGAGCTCYGAGGCAGCTGCTTCCCCCCTCAGCTCTGCTTCCCACCCTGCTCAGGGTCAGGGAATGAGCCACAGGCTGCCCAGCACCCCCTGCATGAGAACAAACTGCTGGAAATTTTTGTTTTCCACCACGGAGGGTGCTGCTCACAGAGGCAAAAACCTGCCCTCAGACTACAGAGTTAAAAATAAGGTGTGTGCAGATCCTCATCAAAGGAGGGAGCTTGCCCAAACAGCAGCCAGGTGAGATTTCAAATTCCACCTTGGAAGTAGCACCATCCTCAGTGAAGTTACAAAAAAAAAAAAAAAATCAAAAAAAAAGAAGACTCAAAAGCCCAAACCAGCTGCTAAGAACCCACTGTATGAGGCTTCAGAATGGGGCAATAACAGAGCCCAAGGAGGTGACACTAAAACCTCAGAAGAACAAGGAGGCAACTTAAAACTYTCATTTCTTGCTTCTTCCTTCAGCCCACCCTGGTGGAAACCCACCACAAACACTCACTTGCTTTCATAATCCCCTCTGAGCACCTCCATGCTCCAAGTACCTCCTGGCCTACAGGGCTTGCAAGAGCTCAACCTCAAAAAGAGTTCCAAATGTGCTGTTTTGGCTCCAAAGCCATCCACATTCATCCTTCCAGCTCAATCCCTGCTGACCTGTGGAGCTAAAGCACTTCCATGCTGGGAATGGAGCAAATGGGAGTGGAATGGACAAGCCAAGGGCCTCAACACCACGTTAGGATTTTGTTCTTAAAGTAGATTTTCCTCCCCATTCATAAACTACAACATCTATGGATGAAACTGTATAACCAGAACTGACCTTCCTCTATCTTACAGGATTGGAGAAGTCTTGCAGCATAGATAGGGCCTGGCTCTACGAGAGAAAAGACATCCCAGCTTTATGCACAATCATGGAAATCTCAGGCCTTTAACACCATTTGCTACTTGGCCAACCAAGAGAGACAAACCCCAACCTCAGCACACCCAGCCCTGTGCCATCCCCGGGCAGAGCATGAGCCCCTCGGCTGTTGGGCATGGGCTGTCCCAAACCTGATGGGAGGGAGGGGAAAGGATTAGCTGGAGGGTATTTTATTCCTCACTCGCTTTCTATCTGTTGGGTGTGTGTGGGGTGGGAAGGGCCAGAGCACGTGGGGGATGTGTAGCTGCTCCAAAAGCTGAACACTGAGTTAATCCAGCACTAACGGGAGAGGCAGCAGGTCCCAGGGAATCTCCGTTTCCTTCCTTCTCAGGACAAGACGGTGGCACGAAAAAGGACAGGGGCCGTGGCCTTCTGTGGACACTGGAGAGAGCTGGTACCTGGAGGTGACAATGAGGCACAGCCACRAGCTCTGCAGCCTCCTCCTCCCCTGCCCCGACACGCCAGCTGGGTGGTGACAGATGGGGACAAAGCTCAGCACAGCGACAGCTCTCGGCACCTTGGCACAGCCAGCCCGAGCCCTCCAGCTGCACAACCTCGGCGGGGTGGGACAGGCTGGGGACAGGCTGGGGACCATCAGCTCTCACACCCTAGTGCAGCTCAATGAAAGCTTCCAGCTCCTCGGGGATGAATCCCTTGTAGGGAATCTTGTGCTTGTCCAGGGCGCGAGCAGCAAGGCACTGGAGGGTGATGTAGTTGAAGGGCTGCATGGTGCTCTTGGTGAGCAGCTTCTCATCCAGCAGCTCGTAGGCYGTCTGCTTGAAGGCGTTGGTGGCGTCCATGTGTGCCCCAGCCTCCATCAGGGCRCTCATGATCAGAGGGCAGTTGTTTCGGGCAGCCACGTGCAGGGGGGTGTTGTTGTCATAATCTCTGCTGTCCGGGTCTGCCCCACACTCCAGCAGCAAGTTCACCACGTGCAGCGAGGGGAATTTGCCCACKGGGTAACGCCCCACCGTGGTGGTGTCTTTATCCACGGCCATGTGCAGCAGGGTGAAGCCGTTCTTGGCGCGGGGRCTGCACTTGAGCAGGCGGTAGATGGTCTGGCGTTTCTGGTGCTCCTGCTCTGGAGTGCATTCCACTTTCTCCAGCAGGAAAACCAAGTGCAGGATGATGGCCAAGGTCTTGGTGAACTGCGCCGAGTCGGCCACGGGGTCCTTGCCGTGCACCAGGGCCCTCTCCACCTCCCKGACCCCTTTGCTCAGCACCCCGATGAGGTCGGAGAAGCCCAGGTGAGTGGCTAAAGTGCCTTTTGAGCGGTCCTGGAGCACGTAGGAGTAAAGCTCGGCAAAGGAAAGGAAACTGCTGGCAGTCATGGGGCTGAGGGGCTCCAGGTTGCCTTGCTGCATGTCCAGGGCGTACTTCCACAGGTTAATGCAGCGCTCGAAGTTGCCAGAGTCGGCGTAGACGGCGCCGCGGTAACGGATGTAGTAGGAAGTGTCGGGGTGGGAAGGGCCCAGGATGCGCTCCCGGATCAGCAGCGCCTGCATGCGCATCTCGTCGGGGTCCGTGATCAGGGCTTCCAGCTCCTCCAGAGAGCTCACCTCCCTTGAATAGTCGTAGGCCAGCACCAGCTGCCGGGGCTCTGGCTTGGGCAGGTACTTGCCGCCCTCGCAGCGCAGCTCCATCGCCCTCCGCCAGTACTTGTGGGCTCCCAACAGGTCTCGTTTCTTGTCCACGAAYGTGGCACCCAGCAGCTCCAGCGCTTCCACAGCCGCCTCTCGAGTGCAGAACACATTGGGGACCTCGTCCTGGCYGGAAGCTGAGGCACCACAACCCTCACAGCCCTCTTCACTGCAGCCCCTCGGATGGCTCCCACCCGAGGCACAGGTCCCGCTCTGGCTTCCCGCAGCCTCATCCTGCTGCAGCCCTCCTTGGATGAGGTACTCCACGATGTTGGTGTGGCCGGTGACGCTGGCGGCGAGCAGAGGGGTCATCCCATAGCCGTCCTTCTCCATGCGGGCCTTGGAGCGGAGCAGGAGCTGCAGGATCTCCAGGCTGCCCGACTCGGCACAATCGTGCAGGGCCGTGTTTCCCTTCACGCTGCGCCGGTTCACATCGGCGCCTTTCTCCAGCAGGTACCGGGCGATCTCCCGGTGCCCTTTGTAGCAGGAAATCATCAAGC